ACGCAGCACGATCCGAATCCGCGCTGCTGGCCGCCGATGCCGGGGCGGTCTCCGTCCCAGCCATGATGTCGCCTAATCCTTGCTCATCCATGATGGAGTAGAACAGGCCACTCCAGCCGTGGAAATCTTCCGGCTTCCCGCTAAACGGGACGTATCCTTGTTTCAGGTAGTTCGTGGCGGACGCCATGCTGCTGCTGGGGTGTGACTCGATGTGAATTAGTCACCAAACGCTAGGCTCATGACCTGACAACAGAATTGTAGTTGCTGTTTGTTGTGTAGTTGGCAGTGGTGGCGCAGTTTGGGTAGATACAACACAGAGTGATCATTAGATCCAAAACACAGGCGCCCAAGCTGTCTTCACCTGACGGTTACAGACTTGGAGACACGCCTTCACAATACTGCACAAAACCCATGCAGTAGAATAGAGTCAGTTCTTGCATACAAATCCCAACAATACCGAAACGATGCTTGTATGCATAGAGGCGATCAGAGCAACATCGAATGACTATTCAACAACAGAAACAAGCCAGGGAAAAACAACAAAACACTAAACATAGTCTAGACAACGCATGTCACATGAAGAGCACAACCCTCCTTTGCGTTTCCTTCGTTGCCAACGGCTCATACAGCCGAATGCTCTGCAACACACGAAGGGACGTGCGCGGATGCCCCTGAGGTAATGGTCAACGGACCTTGTTGACAGTGATTCACGTTAACCTCTTGCCGCCTTACGCATTGTTGGACGGACTGGAAACGCTCGAGGATTGGAAATCGGAAAGTCAGCATGAACGTTGATGACCCAAGGGGGGGGTAAAAAAAGGTGGTTTGCGCGTCGGTTCAGTGTCGTCGCGCAGAGAAGATTTACGAACTGTGCCATGCAAGAAGAAACGAGTTTCTCGAAAACTGACAGAAGTTTTGGGATGAAACTTGCAGGCGGGGCGGGTGGGGGCAGGAGGAACACGTCTTCGAACTGATTCAAGAATCTGTCAGACAATCTCGAGATCATGGACCGAAGAAAGACAACTTTTTTTGTTAGGGTTAGAACGCCAACTCTAAAACCAAGTGAAAATGCGGCCTTACTGGGGTCACTTTTCTGGGGCCGAGAACCTGGGATCAAAATCGAATTTTGGTCTGAGAATTTCGCCAAAAGAAACTGCAGCCCATAGGGCTGGGGAAATTTCGGCGTGGACCTGATTCCACCGGAGGAAACAAGCAACGTCGGACTTCATTGTATGCCAAGGTGAAGAGTTTCGGTATCATCGTGAGAGGCGCCTAGGTCGTGCACGAGCGTGTTTGTGCAGAGTGGGCTTAATTTGTTTTTTTCTCTTATTGTTCTCTTCCGACTACTACAAGCATCACCGCAAGAGAGGAAAGGAGTACACACAACGAACGAACTCGTCCAACATGCATACGATAGACTCCTGCACGAATGCTCCGTGGTTGCGAAAAAAGAAAGGAAAAGTTTCAAACTTCAAATAAACCCGACGGTAGAAGAGGGGCTTCTTTCGCGCGAGAGAAAATATCCCCTACCAAACGAGCAACAGCCAGCCGTCCCTGTGTTTGGCACCCCCTGGATGACAACGGGAAAAAAAAAATCTACAGGTTGATACCAATACAAGAGACAGAATCCTCCACGTACGGAACTATAAGAAAAAGCGGCGAAAGAAGAAAAGGGACGTAAAACCTCGTCCCCCTCTTGTTCTTACTTATGGTACGCCCTATGGCCGTCTCCGACTCGGGCGCGTTACCTAGACGAGCAGCAGCGTCGTGAAAGTTCCATGTGCCCCCCTATTGACACGCTTGAGCAACACCACGACTCCCACGTGCGGTCCGGCTGGATCCGTCCCGGCCTGCCATGTGGACTATGGATTTTCCCAAGATCCGACTACGGCGCCTCCCGCTGGTTGTCGGTTTGTGGGTCCTTCGAACAACTACAACAACGTCATCAGGGCCAATCCTTCTACTTGTCGATTCGTTGGGGCATGGTAAAAAGCAAACTTTCGTGCCGCCGACACGGATTGACTTTTCAGCAAACGATCATTGTTTCTACACATAAACCACAAGAGCGGGACTTATTAGTATAATGTTGTACCAGGGTCGTCAACCTACCCTTCCCACGGCAATGACCTCCTTACAGACCTACGTCTACAGCTAGTAACGGCCATTTGCACAACATGCCCTGCCTGCTTCGCCGACCAGTGGTTCAGTAGCCCCGCCACTCGCCTTTATCTCAGCAAACAAACCTCAAACAAAAACCAAAACATCCCCGTAAAAGTTACGGTACCGTCGGCCCTGCCGTCCAGCCTCCTCGGCTCTTAACTCGCACAATGTGTCTCCGTCGTATGCTACCATCCTGTACCTCCTACAATTCGCGCTCTGACGCTTGTCTGACGCGTTTTTTTTTGCGTCACGGTGTACGGGTATCATTCCAGCATGTTCAGAACCAGCTACGCACGAGAGGGATGTTTCCGAACCGTTTGAGGGGGTTACTTATGGCGTCTCTTTCTCCCCTTAGGCTGGAGAGAACAGTCCTTGCAGCATGCAATCCCTACGGGGGTCTACACCAGTTTGATTGGCTGAGTTTCGCTGGCATCTTCACCAGCTGGGGCCGAACATCCTCTTGGGCTGGTTTAGTTGCCCGACTGCATCTTCACTAGGTCGAGCCGAACATCCTCTTGAGCTGGTTAGGTTGCACGACTGCATCTTCACTAGGTGGAACCGAACATTCTCTTGAGCTGGTTTAGTTGCCCGACGGGTTTCGTGTTGGATAACGGCGTGAGAAGGGAGCAGCGGTACGCGGGGAACAACCGTGGGTTTGAGGGGGGTAAGGTCAGCAAGCGGAGGTGGGTTGTGTGCCGCTATGAAGATACGCGACCACAGCAGCGGCTAGGGTATTAGAGATAAAGGAGGATGTTTTGATTCAAGGGAGCTACGGCTGGTGACCTGTCACGGCCGCGAGAAGGAGTGATACAGAAGCCGAAACCAAACCATTTGACGAGTCAACGCCGGCTAGTGTAATGGGATGATTTCGGCTCTGTTAAAGTTAGTCGTGGGGTTCGTGCGCTGAGTAGTCCGTTGGTTTGATTTCGCTTCTATAGTCAGAGCCAATTAGAGCGATTCCTCGCAGCAACTACTTCGCAGTAGATGGGATGAGGGCGCTAGTTGGTCTTCAACACAGGCGTTGGTACCCCGAAACACACGCAGCGTTCTAGAGTGCATACATAGACCTCCTGTGTGTGCGTGGTATGCATACTACTGCGACACAAATCACCTCCGCATCTTCGCATCATCATGCCACGACACGAAAGACAAGCAGGCATAGGCTAATCAAAATAAGCCTCTTTTCCCGTCGGTATAACTCCCACTCACTGCAATGACTCCAACACATCCCCTCCGACTGCTGTGGTATGATCTCGAAGGGGTAGTCTTTCTGTGATTGTACGAAAAACCTACTCACCAGACCGGCGGGTTTGGGTTGCACGAATTTGAGGTCCACCGTCTTCCCCAAGAACCGATCGACCGCGTCCTTGTAGGCCGTCGCCGCGTCGTCTCCTGTCAAAACGGTTGGCAAAGGATGATAGT